AACATTTAAACGGTACGTGCCACCACTGTCTATTTAAGTAACTTTTAAGACATATAAATAAAATAAAATTGTAACCATGTAATACAAGGGGTCTTCTCTGCCTTTCATTGGTTTCACATAACTTCCGTTTATGCTAATGGGAATTAAGCACCTGCTCCGCAAAGAAAATAGACCCCTCTCTGTGAAAATACACGTGTACAATGTATTTTCCAGATACAATGCTGAAATCAAACCACCAAAAATGTGTGCTGCGTACACAAAGCATCATGTGGCCCACCTGAAAGCACTGCTGTTTCATATTCTACCTCCTGAGTCGTAGGCCTGGAGCTATTCCTCACGCCTTTGCCATTTCAATGTAGCAAAAAAGAAAAAAAAAAAAAAAGAAGGATGGACAGACACAACCCAGTGATTTCAGTGAGTTCATACCCAATCTTCTGTTTACTTCTCCCAAGGTTCATACTAAATTGTATCAGTGAATCTAAATCAGATTCAAGCAACTGCTCTCTGCCAGTCTTAAAGGTCACGGAGGATAACTGTACTTAGGAGAGGAGGACGTGATGCTGGGGACACTGAGCTGGGATGCCCCGCAGCAGCCGCAGCCCAGCCAGGACAGGAGGGGAGGCAGACGATCATTAACCACTGGGGACACCAGGTCCCTCCCGGCAGTGCCCTTCCAAGTGAGGGTCCATTTCACCTGGTCGGCACATCTACCTGGACTTGAGTGGCGATGTCGCCATTGGTACTTGCAGACGTCTCTATCAGGGGGTCCTCGCCCATGGAGGGGCCAGACAAAGGCAGTCCCTCCCACTCCAACTGTAATGGGCACGACAGAGCTCTTCCCCAAAACTCCATTACACTTTCAGTTAAAATGACGATGTAATCGAAATAGGGTTGTGGGGAGAATTAGAATATTCAATATGGTTTCAGCTCTATTTTTATTGGCCTTGTGATGTTTGTAATGTAAAGTCATTGCTATTTTAATTCAAAATTTTTAAATGGTCTTAAGAAATAGGTAATAAGAAGAACATATGGCATGTACTATATTTAACCACATTTCTAAAGATTTCTCCTTCTTCCTAATGATCTAGGTCAAGGCCAAAATTTGTCATTTCTGATTTGCATTGTGAGTGGTATTAAAAGCAGTACTCTTGTGGTCAGGATTGGCTACAGAATTTGCAGGGCCCAGCGCAAAAGGAAAATGGGGGGTTACCTTGTTAAAAATTTCCTTAACAATTGCAAGACAATGACAGCAGAGCAGCAAAGCAAGCTCGGGGCTCCTCGAAGCATGGAGCCCACGAGGTTGCACACCATGAAGCCAGCCTCGCTCTAGGAACAGGACCTTGGCAAGAGGTAACCTGCTGCCCGCTCCTTTCTCCTCGGCCCAGTTCCCAGTCCAGTCAGCTGTGGGAGGAGGAGTGTGAGAGGTGTTCCTGCGGACACCTATTCAGCGTTTGAGGTCCAAGAAAAATGGCTCAACAAAGTGGACTTGAAGCATTTCATCTCCCTTCCTAGAGGCTTCCACAAAACAAGGTTTTCCCTCCGAAGGCCAGCATGACCCTAGTGCGGGGTTCAGTTTTAAAGGGTACCAGCGGGCCAGTGTTGAATACAGACAATGGTAGCATGGTTTACCAGCACACTGATCCTCAGTGCCATATTTTCTTTCTTCCTCTGTATTGTTTTCCTTTTAAAATCACTTCCCGCTCAAACCGCTTCCCTATGGTCAGCCAGCACTGGCCTCAGATCTGACCTCACATCCTAAACAGGCCAGCTGACTGTGAAGGCACTGCGGCTTTCTGCAGTTTTGGTGACTCGGAAGGGCAGGGCAGGCGCTGTGGAGAGGGTGCCCCTCTCTTCTCAGCACACCGGTGTTTCATCAGTTCTAGGCCAGTGAAGGAGACGACAGGAATGACGACCATGGCACAACCCTGCCCCTGAAGGGATCCACCACCTCTTAGAAGTGGGCTTCCGCTGAGCTCAGCTCTACACAGCCCTTCGCTCCTCCCTGCACCTGGAGCCTCTACGGAGTTGGTCTCCAGACATTTAGAACAGGCTACTGAGACGAGCAAAGAGAAAAAGACACCTCCTCTGTATTTTCCCCCCAAAATAAATATGAAGTAAATTTGTAAATACCTTACAAAAATACTGAAGGAAAAAAAAAACCCCGATAGTTAAGACGAAATTATCTAGTTAAGTCCGAATCTTTCTGAGCTGTAGATTGCTTTGTGTATGATCACACAATACAGAAGGAGCTGCGCAAACGTATAAGCCTATCCTGATTTTTGGTCATTCAGAAAAGGGCTGGAAGATTATAAAATCACCTGTTCTCAATAAAATAGTATATCCTTTCTTTTCCTCCGGTAGTGCATTTGTAGGGATAAACAACCCCACAAATTGTTTGGCCTATTATATGTCACCGAGATTTTTCTATAGCCTGTCTAGACTCCAGACAATAGGCGAGACTGGCCTATAGTTGCCGGCATTTCTATAGTCTGTAATATCACTTAGAAAAGTAAGGACAATAGTACAAAAATGGAAACCAGCCTGACCTGTCAGTACAATAATAGAAATATGAGTATAGCAACACTTTACAATTTAGAAATGATGATAGCAACCTAGCAAGAAGTTTTAGCTGCCACACGTCAGCCAAACAACTTTTGCAAAATCAGTCATACTCCCCAAATGAGTAGTAATGAGTCATGTAATTCTGTCCAAGTATAAACCACTTTATCACAGAAAATTCTGTATGTATATTTTGTATTTTCTTATTGCACAGAAATAGTGTGTGTAAGTATGTATATATGTAAATATATAAAACCACAAATATATGTGTATTTATTAAATATACATTTTATATACAATATTTGTGGTCAATACACAGACTTTTCAAAAGACCTGCCTTTGAATAAATTAGGTTGTTAAACAATTGTGCTTTATAGCCCTCTGGATAAAATAATGCTGCATATAATCTTACAAGAGTTAGGGGATATTATGTATAAAAAAGGGAGGTGAATGGAAAAGATTTTTAAATTTCATCTACTTTCTGCCACTTCTTCCCTGACATGTCTCCCCCTCTATTTCTCTCCCACCATTACACTTGTTATAAACAAAGAAAAGAAAGAAAGATGGATAAAAAAGAAACTTGATTGTTTATATTTTCCTTCTTCACTACTTTTCAAATCTTTTAGTAAATGAACCGATAAGGGTACTTGTTTTTGTTGTTGCTTATTTTGATGAAGTCTTATTTTGATGAAGACCAATAAAGAGACACTGCATATAAAGAATACCCATTGAAGAAAATACTGCCGTGAAACTATTGGCAATATTTTTGATTGGGAGGGTATTCTGTTTCCCAGTGCCGCCACCCTGCGTCAGCGGTCACCAGACCGGCTGTGTCTTCAACACTGGGGGTAAATATTAACCGAGTCTCTGCTGCCGTTGGAATGACTCGGCCTGGGGCATCGGGAGTAGCTGAAGGGTTGTCTAGGGAAACAGAAAACATACAGGAAAGCCAAGAGATTCCCCCAGTTCTTTCACTTAGAGTTGTACATCCCCAAAGAGAAAACTTCTATTTCTAAAGTCATTCCATTTCTGTCTCTGCTTGAATTTTTAAAAATTCCAAAAACAACATCATTTACCTTGTTTCAACACAATCACCTCAACCACACAGCAGTATATAATATGTCTTTAGGAGTTCCACTGTAGAACAAACCATCTAGGATTGCCAAATTTCCAGAGCTGATTGATGAAGCCGTACAGAACCCTTCTCGATGTGAGCAGCTAGGTCCATCTACCAGGCACTCACGGAGCACTTCCTGGGTTGAAGACACTCATGCCTACAAGTGTGGTGTATCCCCCTCCCGAGATGCAAATGGTACATGCATATTATGCCAAAAAAGCATTACACAACACTCTCATTTTGTTTTGCTTGGAAGTTCAATGTTTTCTGTCTTTAAGGAAAAAATCCTTTAACCTCATCAGAAATGAAGGTTTTTGTCAACACTTTCTCACAGAGTAAAAATAAACAGATATGCTTCAGTATGAGTGATTGATAATGTGTCATTAAATACAGTATAACAATTCAAGGAGGTTTTACTGAAATAAAAGATGTAGTTTTTTTCCATTGACATGTGCCATGATGTTTAGGAATACTTTATTTTATTAAAGATTTTATTTATTTTTAGACAGATGGGAAGGGAGGGGGAAAGAGTGGGAAAGGAACATCCATGTGTGGTTGTCCCTTGGGGGCCCCCTACTGGGGGCCTGACTCGCAACCCAGGCGTGTGCCCTGACTGGGAATTGAACCAGCAACTCTTTGGTTCGCAGGCCAGCACTCAATCCACTGAGCCACACCAGCCAGGACAAAGAATACTATACATACTTGGTGGGGCAAAAGTAGGCTTTGGAAAATAATACAATTAATAAATAATACAACAACAATAAACTGTACTTCGAGTACTCACAACTATAAACCTATTTTTGCCTCAACCTGTATCACGTAAAAGATGTACCAAAGAGGTCTATAATTCATACATTACTTTGAATATTATAACAATGGTACAAAATTCTGATTCACCTCAGCCTTTTTAACTGGCCACATTTTATAATTAAAGAATAAACGTTTACATTTTAATGGGGCACATCAACTAAAACTTGACTTTTTAAAGTAAACACCAAATTCCAGATGCGATGTTAGTATGATGAATTTGGCAGACTTGCATTCTCATGAAATGGGTGGGAAGTGCCATGATTCATCCCAGGAGAGCTGGTAATTCACATGCTCTGAATTGAGCCTGGACCACTACCTACAGTGTCTGGTGTGTGAAGACAGGAGACCAAATTATGTCCTAATGAGGTCTCACCAAACTCCTACTGAAGTCCATGAACATTTGCAAACACATTCAAGAGTGATCTTGTGGCCCCAAAAGCCTTGTCAATAATTTCATTAGGTCTTTAAATTTGATATACAAGTCAAACAAAAAGCCTCACAAAATAACATGTACCTCTCCAACATCGTAGATCCAAATACGGCCTTCTGAGTCCCCAACAGCCACTTCTTTGCCAGCTTGAGCCCAGCGAACACGATTCAGGGCAGAGGCCCCCTCGATGGCCACGCTTGCTGTTGGAACCTGCCGAAAAGGTTACAAAAGAATCTCTGAATACGAATTTAAATATACATTTAACTGGATGAGTCACCACTGCCTTCTTGTGCATGAAGTAATATCCATCCCTGTGCAGAAGCAAAAGGATTCATTGTTCTTAAATCATATGCTCCACTGTACTAAGGGGTACAGAGGAGACACTTGAATGAAACATCGAAAGAGGATAGTTTTTCCCCCACAATCAGCGGGTAGTGAGTGACATAAATATTTCTTCAGATTAGGTAGGGAGTGCATCCGATGTACACACAAACACAGCAGCTCAATGGGATGCTTCACGATCAGGTCATGGTTTACTGATTGCTGGAGAGAGAGAGTTCAGGATTTACCAAGATTAAGGATACTGTAAAAGGCAGGAAGGGGGAGTGCATGGTGGAATAGAAGTCACAGTACTGTAAGTCTTCAGGGGAAAAAGTATGTATTGATCCCTCAAAACCTCATCAGGGAGGGGATGATCAGAAGAAGAAAAAGTACACAGGTGAAAAACTTCAAAACCTCAAATTCTCTCCTCTCTCTTTTTTCCTTTCTGTTTGTCCCCCTCTGGGCAGCCCCAGGAAGTAGGAGGTGCTCCCAACCTCCACCGGAAAAGCCCTGGGGATGATATCCAGATAGATGGAGGCAGCACCTGCTTGTAGAAAAGGCCTTATATCCCTGCTAATAAACACGTGAAATCTGACGTTGATAATTAAAATAATAATTACGATTGAAGTGAACCAGCGGTGCTGATGTCACCTGAAGTATGTGTTAGAAGAACCTTAGTATTTGAAAAATACAAATGTTAGTGGGCCTGCCCCTTCTCCATCATCGGTTGTGTGAACCCTTGTCTTTAAGGTTGGAAGTTTATTCCTATGAAGGTCAGATTTCCAAGCCTTCTACAAGAATGTTGAACAAGAAATGATAATGGGCCGTTAAAAAAAATAAAAGAGGTAAATGTTAAGACAAAAAAATGTAGTGAAAAGAGGGCCACCAAGACCGTCGGACCACTGTTTAAAACCTGTGTCTAAACAGCATGTCGGGTAGGGTGGAGCTGTGCCCGCGCATTCCCAGGATTCTGTGCGTCCCGGAATTGAACCATCTGTTGATACGAGATTATTGACCCAATACCTATCTTCAAAATAGTAATAAAAACTCCATCAGATGTAAGAATCTATGTTTAAACTTTATCTTGAAATCAATAGAATTCTTTTACCTGCTTAAATCACCGTATGTCAATTGTGAGCAAAAATGTAAATCACAAGTCCCCAGTTCATTTTTTTTTAATACACAATTTCTACAATAAAGGTACCTGCTGTGCAGGCTGGAGCCTGAATTTTTAACCACCCCTTTCAAAGGACAAAACAATGTGAATTTAGATGGGTCGTAATTCTGTCAAAACATTTTATTATTAGTGCGCCACTCAGAAGACAAATCTGAGATTCAGCTATAAGGTTTTTCAGAATTAATTTTGAACTCCATAACTTAGGGAATTCAAACAGGACTATGCCTTTACTCATTCTCAGATTTTATCTATGAATAATTTCAAAAACTGAATAAAAATGTTTAATCCTAATGAGTATGAAAAAAAATCACTGAAGAAACTGATTTTTTGATACACTTTAAATTATGCCTAATACATCTTAAAGAATTTTATTTATTTGGAATTAAGCAATGTAGCAAAGTGAATCAATTAATATTCTAACCATTAAAAATAACTTCTTCTTTCCACAGATATTATAAATGGTAAAGAAAATGACTATACGCGCTAATAATCGAATGCATGAAGGAAATGACAAAATATATTAGCTCTACCAAGTAATGACCGTTCAAATGTTCATGAATCCATAAAGAAAATAATCTCTCTATTGTCTGTCTCTCTTACCCTTTTCCTTCAGTTTCACAAATATTTTCACAAGGTTTTAAGGCTCAATCATGTCACCTGCAAAGACAGGATCCGTGCAGTGTAAGTTACTACCCTGTACCCAGGTCCCCAAGCATAAACTACTCTCTCGGAGGAGCAGTCAGGACAACTTGGTATAAAAGCACAGGAATTTGAATAACGACAAAACACTGGGGTTTCAGGTTCTTTTGAAAACAAATCTAATTCGTAATCTCACAAATATTTGAAACATCTTGTTCAACTTGATAGAAAGCAAAAATAAGTTGAGGGTGTTCGAAAGCGCTCAGCTCATTACTGCACTTGGAGCGGACTCAGTCTATCAGTTGCTGTTGGGAAAGCAGAAGGAAGTGTATCGCAACACTAAATGGTTTGCATGTCCAGCAATGATTTGTTGAAATGTTTCGCTAAAAAACTTTTATGTGGCTGTCTTTTGGCACCTAGAGAAAAAGAAGGGGAAAGTGACATTTGGCAGTATTGAGACATTAATTTCATTTTACCTAAAAAGCTGACCCCCACGCCACCTGACCCCCGCCAAAAAAAAAAGTTATACAGGAATTATCAAGGAGTTTGGAGAACACTCACTCCCATTGCACTGTGGTTGGGTATTACCAAAACATCACTTCTACTAGGTCTGATTTCTGATACAGGGAATCTCTTCAGTCAATCTGGAAAATGTGTGTTTTTTGGTTGCTTTGAGTGAATGAGTTTATTCCAGAAGATATAGGCAATATGATTTTAATCAACAGCGATGAAAGACTTTGGGAAACTTACAATGTGGAGTAATAACATCTTTCTATGAAAAGCAATAATGTTATAAACATTTCAACGTCCAAATAAATGGGCATTGCGTATATTCATGTCTTTAAATTATTTTCAAAATGCTTCATTACATAACCCTTACCCTTGTCATATACATAGTTCTTCTAGTGAAACGGAAAAGTAGACTTAAAATATTTTAAAAAGGTAACTATTTGGCATGAGCTAGAGGTGTACATGATCTTGCAAGATACAATGACTCAATACTAACACCTGAAAGATATTTTCCTGCCCCCCCCACAAAAAAATACTAGGGGAGCCTGCTCCTCCTCATATCCTCCAGCTGTAAGCTTCCTAATTAAAAAGGCTGAGCTGTTTCCTGCTCAAAACACTTCAAAAGAGCTTTCTCTTGTTCTCCACTTGACATATAGTTTGCAATGCTTGTTCCTCTTACCTGTCCATTCTTATTTATGGAGAGTTGCCCTAAATCAGAGACCAGGAAATGATGAAGAGAACATTTTATTTTGTTAAACTGAAAGGCATTTAATATTCATATTTTTTAAAAACCGACAAAAAAACCACACAAATTAGCACCTCAATAATTTGGAGTGGAAAAAAGGAATGATGCGCATACATAATTTTAAAAACATATACAGAGAGCCTAATTTTAAAAAAGAATAATTTCTTTATCGTCAATTGCTTTTTTAAATAAAATGGCTATTTTTCACTTGTAAATAGGGACACGTTAAAATCCTGATTTTTAATAAATAGTTTAACATACATGTCCAGATTTGGAAACTACTGTAGAAAAATCTGCCTGCAAGGTAACATCTTAAGTCAAGAATTATTGACCTTGTAAAAATTACATGAAGGCTGGATCTGGATCTAAACATAATCAGTCAACAAAATCATCTTTTATGAATTGAAAATGGGAATGGTACAAATCGCGAACACTGACAAATCACCCTTTTAGAAAAAGCCCAGTCTAAAGTCAGGGTCCACAAAAGCTTCTTTTTCCCAAATGTTTGCCAATAGAGTTATTTCAGCCCCGCTCTGAAATATGCCTGTGTGTCCTTTCCCTTAGGGGAAAAGCATTGAACAAGTATCGTTTTGCTCTTTGCAAAAAAAGGGTCGTCAATTGTCCAGGACCTGCCACGGTTTAGGGATGAAGTGGGATTAAATGATCTTCTTTTTTTTTGCCAATGCATTTGCCAATTCTCTTCGGAGCAGTCAAGAACCGGGGTCGGCAGCCCAGCTGCAATTGGAGGGTCTGTCAAAAAAAGGCCGTTTTTTTGCAGAGAGAGGGGAAGAAGGAGAGAGGCCGCCTGCGCCCCCCTCCCAGCCCTCCCGGCCCCGCGCCTGCGCCGCCGCTCACCTCAGTGTCATTGTTGAGGTTCCAGAGGTCCAAGCGCCCCATCCCGTCCACGCAGGCAAAGAGCGCGGGATGCACTGGGGACCACATGACATCGTACACATAGTCGGCATTGTCTTCAAAGGAGTAGAGCGGCTTGTTGTGCTGTAAGGCAGAGAGACCGTGAAGACTTTGTGGCGCTGCTGCTGCCTCGGGCTGTCTAGGGAGCCTAATTAAAAACTTTGCACATTCACAAAGTGTCATAAAACTTCCCGAGATGAAAGTCCTCGAGAAGGTGAACAGCGGCTTTAATGTGACTAGAACTGTCCAGTGGCATAAATAAATACCAGGGTGGAGGGGGGTTGCTCTTAAGGGGCCGGGGGCTGGGACCGAAGGTGGTGGGGGGTTGGGGAGGCGGTTTCAGACATCGTCGTCAGAGGCATTCCAGGCAGGTGGACGGGACTGCCCATTAGCTCGAAATTCCAGCCTCCCTACGTTTTTCGAGTCTCTCGGAGCCCAAAACACAGCCGTGGTCCTTCTGCCCGGATCCGACCCGCGCGGATGCTCTGCAAACCCCTGCAGTCCCGGTGGCCCCCGAACCCTTTGCACCGAAGGCAACGCCTGCCACCTCGTGGTCATTATCTGTAGCTGCAATTCTGCTTCCAGTCCAACACTAAACCAAATGGCTCCTTTGAGGCGGAGGATGGGAATGTATTTTAAAGGGATTTGCAGCTGTTCAGAGAAGTGAAAAATCTCAGGGTTCTAAGACTCTAGTCTGTCTACCTAGGGTCAGTGCACCCAAATCAGGTGGACTGGTGTGGCTCAATTTTCTACCCTAAACCTTCTAAGATGAATCACATAGTCTATTAGATCATCCAGTATTTCTAAGAGCCCTGAAATGGGTGTTTTCTTGGGGGAAATACATTAGCACACCCTCACTGCATACAAATGCTTCCAGCCGGAGGGATACAATAAATTAAAATGGCACTCTTGATTTCCAGTGAATATTGTCACATCAAAATAGCACAGAAGTCAGAGGCAAGTTTGAAAGTACACCAGAAATAAAACGTAATTGGATTTCATGAATTATTCATTCCATCTGGCTTGTCTTATTCTAATTTCTGCATAATGGCTTTACTAATCCCTGATCAATTAATGTAAAATGAAATTTAAATGATAATGAAAGCCCTAGAGATAAAAAGAAATTAAGTATTCTTATATCCTCTGACAGAAATCTAAACAATGGAAGTTTTTTTCCCCCAAGTCATCTTCATCCAGTCAGCTGTCTTGTACTCGGGGGTTCAACTGGGTGCCCGTGCAGGCCGGAGTCACAAGACCATAAAAAGATAACATACCATGTGAACAGTCTGCACTGAATGTTCAAAGAATGCGTATGTAGGAAGTCAGCTCCGGATATTACATCCAACTCTCCAAGTGTGCAGAGTGAGTGTAAAAGCCACACAATGCAGGGACAGAAATGAAAGTGAGCAACATCAGTGGGAAGAAGATAAAACTTCCACAACCGAAACGTAATGCGCAAGTTTGTCAAGGTACTAATGGTAAGTGATTTCTCTTTCTGTGAATTGAATCACTTGGGCACTGCTCACCAGTGAACACAGCTGTAATACTACTGAAGCAACACAGAAGTTTCAGACGGTTCATTGCATGTGTGCATGTGTTGGTAGTATACATGTGAGGTGTGTCTTATTTTAATTAAAAAAGTATCTAAATGGGGGAGTAATTTGAAAAAAGTATATATGACATTGAGAGCTCAAAAAGAATTAAAAAGGACATTAACCTTATAGTTTTGTATTTTAATATTCTGTAACTCTTTATGCCAACATTTTTATTATATGCCGTGTCTGCATAGTGATTTGGAGCTAAAATTATTTGCCTATTTGCTCTTTCTGTAGTTTCTTTCTTCCTCTCACTGTTTGAACGAGGTGATTCAAACTGCTTTCTCCAGAAAATCTAAATATCTAAGGGCACAAAATAGCACAACCATACCATTTTTTCCTTATCAATATGGGGGGCGGGGGGAAGGCAATGTAGAGTAGCTGGTTCTCCACTGACCACTTGTGAACATTAAATTCTAACTCTCAGTAGAAGCTTATTCTTGCCCCAATTCTTGATTTTATAGCAAGCCAGTAACTATTTGTTAAAGCACATGAGTAGCATGTTTTTCTTAAAGGGTAGAAAAGGCTTACACATGTCTAAAAAAGTTGATTCTCAGTATCTTTTTTCAATAACCAGCTGGCAGTATAACTGATTACATAGAGGTCTAGACACAGACACACACACACAACAAACACACACACCTACAGTCCTTGTTCTGAGCAGTGAGAAGGCCATGCAGCTTTTAAAGAGACATTTTCTAAGGAGCTGATACTATTTGATATGTTAATTATCTCAATAATTTATACTGTTAATCTCTAGTACTGTTTCCTCTTTTCTTCTACTAGCTTCTTCTCTGAGAAACTTAGTTGAACTCGTAGTAAACCCTGGAGACTTCACTTTTAAACATATGGAAATAACTGCTATTATTCATGTTACCAAGACCAATTTTCTCACATTTAATAGGATGGCATAGAAATGCCATTTTTCTGCTCTAGGTTTTTTCCAATGTCCTTAACACCCCTCACTCCCAAGGCTGAACCTTCCATGATGAGAGTCACGCGTGCGAGTAACTCTAGGCTGGAGTACGCGAGTGTCTGGGGAAAGAGAGAAGGGCTTATCTTTTCAAAGGCTTTGTTTTAACCTCGATAAAGTCACAGGCTGGGGAGGTCTTGGTCAGAACTGAATCTGTTAGCAGAGTACCAAGTGAATGGGCACCTACCCACCACTTCTTTCCGAAGGTGGCTTGGCATGTGCATAGGCCAACGCCGCTCTTACAACAGTAAGCGGTGCCATTTTGAATATTAATTAAATACTTCTTTCAGTAAAGGAATTTTTCGTTCTCTTTCATTTGAAACCCAAAGAGTCATCTGAAAGCCCAATTAAAAACATTTAAGAGCAAACACGTATATCATGAAATATTAACATTTTCATAAAATATGTCAAAAGCATCAGGTTCTAAAGATGCTGTTATTTGAATTTGGAAACATACGTGTCTGGAGCCGCAGAGTTGTTACAAATGGCACTTGCCTTGTCACCGGTTTTAGAAAACCCCAAGTTTCGAAAACGTGGAGAATGCAGGGGCAAATTTGACCAATGGTTTGGAGGAGGATCCTGGAATATCATTCGTATATATTAAAGCCACTGAAGCTTGGTGATTTTAAATATTTACTCTTCAAAATGCTCAGGCCCCTTTAGCTAAATATTGTTCTGCAGCATGTTACCACCGTAGAAAGAGTTTTTCAAAACAATCAAATTTCATGGGAGAAAAAACCCCTGTGTTTCTTTTTCTAAGGCCATGTTTAGTGTCAGGGAACTGTTAAAGGCAAAAAGAACAGGTAAATGGCATTGTTTCACAACCTACTCCACCTGCGACACACGCCAAAGAGATGCAGCCGTGACACCTCGTGTTTTAGCCCAGTTTCCAGGGCCGTGCGGAAGGTGCTGAACAACCCAGATGCAGGTCATCTGAACGGAACCCCCGGCTCTCGGACAGAACAGAGAAGCGGAGAAGCGGCGACCAGTCGCTCCCCAGGCAGACCCGCGGGGCAGGGAAGGGCGAATCGGTGGGTGTGCGCTGTGTGCCTGACGCTATACACGCACTGTCTGATTTAATCCACATAAAATCTCTGTGAGGTAGACGGTATTTATAGAAAAGAAAATTATAGCTCAGAAAAGTTAGTAACTTTCTCAAGGCCATGAAGGCTGTCAGTGGTGGAGCTAGATTCAACTCTCTGGTTTTCCTAGCTGTTCCACACGTCCTGTGTGCTGGAACCCTGTGGTCCTCTGGGAAACATGGCCGTGGCCGTCAGTCCTCACAGAAAACACAACAGATCTTTGCTGTCCCATTCAGTACAACCATGTTCACTAAACACCCACTTGTAGAAAGAGTGGGAAAAGATCACAATCAGAATGTTTATTTTATTTCCTGAGTCAGTTATTAATAATCCCACAGAATTCCAGGCATCTTTACCACCTTGTGACAGCAACATCTTTTTTCTCCCGAAAACTAGGAAAGTGGATGGGAATTTCAGCCCTTGGACCAGCAGGGATGAGCAGGCCAGGCATTGGGGTAGAATGAAATGATGCTGGAAGGCAAAGATGCGGGTCCCAGTTCCCTACATGTCTCTGCAACTTTGGGTGAGGGACTAAAATCAAATGATCTGAAAGATGGAATCACATAGGGAGGATGGACCAGAACAGACAAGTGGAGAAAGTGGAAAGACTACAGACCTTGGGAAATCCAATTTATCCTTGGCTCACAGTTGTTTCACCTGTGAGGCGGAGAGCTGCGCCTCAAGGGTTCCCGTTGGCTTTGGGAGGCTATGGCTCTGTTGTGCGGTGAGGACTGAATGGCATCAAGTATGGGAAAGTTTTATATACATATATTTTAAAGATTTTATTTATTTTTAGAGAGAGGGGAAGGGAGGGAGAAAGAGAAGGAGAGAAACATCAATGTGTGGTTGCCCCTTACACCCCTCTACTGGGGACCTGGCCTGCAACCCAGGCATGTGCCCTGACTGGGAATCAAACTGGTGACCCTTTGGTTTGCAGGCCCATGCCCAGTTCACTGAGCTACACCAGCCAGGGCTGAAAGATTTTTTTTTACAGAGTGATTCAAAGCCATGTATTATAATTAAAGCCATCTTCCTTGATGTTCTATAGAATTTATATCACAGTGATTTTTTTTACTTTGTATTTCATCAAACATACATATAAAATGTACCAGAGTGGTTTTTAGTAACATTTTTGAAATTATGAAAGTAATAGATCTCCTATTTGACCAACTGAGAAAGCATAATAATATTAAATTTACATAAGAGAGGCAGGTAGTAAATTCCGTTCACACACCCATCAACCTTTTACAATAAAGACTTGATCTCTAGATTTGAGCTTTGATTTTATAAGTATACTTCTAACAATGAAGAGAGCTGCATATTTTTCCATGAACTATAAAAGGATTTCCTGAGACTTGAGTTTCTATTTCTGATGTTAGATATGTACCAAAGTCACATTGGGAAAGTACTATGTTTGTTTTATTTCCCTCTATA